AACAAGTGGCAACCAGTTTTGGCTGAGTGCATGCTATGCTGGGAAGCACATGAAAAAAGGGGAGGAGCCTGAATGGATATGAATATGAAGTTCAAGACAGCAGGGAGAAAGCTGCTTATAAGGAATAAAGAAGGGCTCCTAGGGGAAGGAGGAAGAGAGGAGAAAGTGAGGCCCTACATATGAGTTAGGCTGGGCATAGGCTTAAGCTGGTATAACAAGAGACCCACCTACACCATGGCTTACAGAACACAGAATTTTATTTCCCTCTTCTGTTAATAGTCCCAAAGCGAGAAGTCTAGGCAGGTGGGTGTTGTTTTGTGCAATCTTTCAGACCCAGAAACCTACTTTTTTTGACTCCTCTACTCCTTAAGAGTTTGACTTTGACTTCATGGCTAGGATGTCCACCTTCTCTTTGTAGGAGTGCCCTATTCTGTAAGGAATGGAAGAAGTTCCTGAAGAGCCTAGGGTGCATTAAAAAAACAAAAGGCAATCCAAAAGATCCAAATCTTGAGATACTGAAAGGGTCTCACTTAATCTTACGATTAGAAACATTCCATACCCAAAGAAACAACAGTTAGTATTTGCTTCTCAAGAAGAGGAAATGATTTAAGATTGAAGTCTGACTCTAGTTTTGAAACCAGTGACAAATATTTAATAGCATCTCTCATACCTCATTTTTTTTTTTTTTTTAATTTGAGAGAAAGAGAGAGAACACAAGTGTGGGAGAGGGGCAGAGGGAGGGAAAGAGAATCTTAAAAGCAGGCTCCATGCTCAGGGTGGAGGCCAATGCAGGGCTTAATCCCATGACCCTGGGATCACGACTTGAGCTGAAGTCAAGAGTCGGATGCTTAACTGACTGAACCACCCAGGTGACCCTCACACTTTAATTTTAAAGCAATTTTCCATTTCCTGGAAGAATCAGGAAAAGTAAAAAAATATGTAATTCATTTATATTGGTTTGCTATATTGCTACTAATTACTATCTATCAGATTCCCTTACACTTTAGGACAAATATAACTTGTAAACATAATGGAACAGATTCATAATCACTGCCCTATCTATAGAGAATTCTAATTTCTTTCTGAAGCAAAGGACTGGTTCAAACAGCCATTTCTCTTAAAAAATTATTTCACTTCTAACATACTTACTTCTATTTTTTCACCCAGGTGCATTCTTTGAAAAGAAACCTCTGAAAAACTTCCAGCAGCTGGATTTGGCAGGAAATTGTGTGAGCAGTGATGGATGGCTTGGCTTCATGAACGTGTTTCAGAATCTTAAGCAATTAGTTTTTTTTGACTTCAGTACTACAAGATTTTTACCTGATGCAGCATTAGTCAGAAAACTTGGCCATGTGTTATCTAAGTTAACTTTTTTGCAAGAAGGTAGGCTTGTTGGGTGGCAGTTTGATGATGATGATATTAGTGTTATTAAAGGTGCTTTTAAACTAGTAACTTAGGGGCGCCTGGGTGGCGCAGTCGATTAAGCGTCCGACTTCAGCCAGGTCACGATCTCGCGGTTCGTGAGTTCGAGCCCCGCGTCGGGCTCTGGGCTGATGGCTCGGAGCCTGGAGCCTGTTTCCGATTCTGTGTCTCCCTCTCTCTCTGCCCCTCCCCCGTTCATGCTCTGTCTCTCTCTGTCCCAAAAATAAATAAAAAAAATGTTGAAAAAAAAATAAACTAGTAACTTAAATAAGAGTCACCTTAAGCCCATGAATGCTCTGGGGACCCCATTACTTTCAGCCTGGTGACCTAAAAATCTTTGCTCATCCAGTGCAAGAGTCTGAATGTATATGACAACCCATTATATAGCCTAAAAATTATTCTTCTTGGGGGGCCTAGGTGGCTTAGTCGGTTAAGTGTCTGACTCTTGATTTTGGCTCAGGTCATGATTTCATGGTTCGTGAAAACAAGCCCTGCATTGGCCTGTGCTGAATGTGCAGCCTGCTTGGGATTCTCTCCCTCTCTCTCTGCCCCTCCCTGCTACCACTTTCTCTCTCTCTCAAAATAAACATTAAAACAAAAATTATCCTTCTCAACAGTGTCTGCCTAACTTGCTCTTTCCAAACTTTGTCTTCCTCTCCTGGTATCAGGATGATGTGTGACATCATGACCTCTGTAGCTGGCCTCGTCCATGGAAATTTGCTTCCTTAGTTTCATTATTCAAAAAAAAAAAAAAAAAAAGAAAAAGAAAAGAAAAGAAAAAAAAAGCAAGAGGATAAAAGGAGAATGCCAAGAAAATGAGGCAAAGAAGAGGAGCAAGTGGGGGGCAGCTGGACAACATGAGCTATTCTGTGTCTCAACACAAGTAGGATTACCATGTAGTTGAAGTGATATCGTTTATCCTTGTATTCCCGTTGGTCTTGGGAATAGGTCACAAAAATTGATATACTGTATGCATATTTACTTAGTACAGTGCCTGGCACATACTGGATATGCAACAAGTATTTGCTGAACTAAATTAAATTACCAATAAATTGCTATTGAATAAAAACAAGCCAAAATTATTTAAGATCAGAGAGAAAACTCTATGTACGTTCTTTATTCAAACAGTGTGATTCAAACAATTTGGGATGTAAAAAGCATTTTCTCATATAAGCAGATTAGACTCCCAAAGAGATCAGCAGTCTTTAGTCAAGCAAAAAACTGGCAGTTCACAAGCAGCTTAATCAGAGGCTTGATATTCAGGACCTCCCCATTTGCTTATACATGTATGTATTTCCAACTGTTATCTTTATAGAGTAAGGAAGAAAGAAAAATGTACCCCATTCTTTTGTACCCGAGGAAGCTAAAAGTACCCTGTCCTAAACTTTTCGCCAATACCACCCAAAATAATCCTTCCCCACAAAGAAAGAAGTCCAAGAAAAATCTGTTTAATCTTAACAGATTTAAGTCCAGTGTGAAATAAACAAAAACCTAGATGGTGTTTAACCTGCAGTTCACCTTCTATACTCATGGCACCTCAAATTAATGGCTTGGGTGTTGGTGTAGGTAACACTTGGCCTGTATGCTGAGGTAGTCACTGGAAGGAAATTTAGAGCTGACAGTTTACAGATTAACTAATCCATTCCCATCCCAACTTTATAGATGATAAAGCAGAGAGAGGTTAAATGACTTGCCCACGGTAACAAAATACTTACATAATGGCAGCGTCAGGATCAGAATCCAAATCTCCTGACTTCTAGTCCAGTGTTTTTCCATTACAGTATGGCGTTTTCTGAGACGGGGTTAATTACACTCCATAGAACTTGCTCTTAATCACAAACAATGGGCCAAATATTCAATTCAAACTTCCTTGTTTGGCTTCAAGTGACTCTGTGGCAAGATTTACCAGCAAGGCTATTGCCCATAGTCCTAGGTTGGCCAAGTTTCTTGTTTTCATATCCAGAATCTGGCCAGAGCTTGGCAAATAAGACTTCTTTATATAATCATGAATGGACCAATGTCACCTATAGCAGTTGGCATCAGTGAATTTCAGGAAGTAGAGCCAATTCCTCCAAAACCCACAGCAAACTTCTTAAACAGTGCAGGTGGGTATCAAAGCACCTTTGGTGGGACAACTACACAGGTGTTGCCTCTGAATGGGTGATGAGGAAACAGGCATTTAACTTCATGCAGAATTGTGTTCTGTACACTTTAAAAATCCCATGAGAATGGAGAAGACATGCGGCGGTGGGGGGGAGGGGGGCAGCACATACCTCTTAATCATCACTCAGTACATGGCAGTTCTTCAGATTTCATGCGTGACCCACTTAGATGAGGTCAATGGAGGAAAAATCACCCTGTAATAGTAGACCAATAATAGGTATACTAATAGTTGGAGAACATAAGACAAAGGACAAGGAACAGATTGCCTTATTACATTTACAAAATTTCATTTTTCCCAGAAGTCAAGGTAGTGTGGGCTCTATTTCTTCAGCAGGTCAAATGCCTGAACAGGGTTGCGGATGTTAAAGACAATGACAAACTCCTCACCAAGCAAAAGTTGGGACATGGCCACTTATTACAGGATGACTATAACTCTGCTTGACAAAGATGGCTTCTTGGATGTTATTCCACTGTGAAATCAGATTTGGAAGTGCTGCTCATATTTAAAAGAGGATGAGCTGATTGAAGCAACTTGCAAATTCTACAAAAACAAAAATCTTCTCTACATAGCTGGCTGATGGCTGGAAAAATCATAAATCTCCAGGAGTACTAGATTCCAGAAAAGTCGAAGCCACTCTCAAAATACCTTTTTAAAACTCTAATTACAAAACTCATGATTAAATTTAAAAATTACCTCAGGTAATTTGTGACTGCTGCTTGTGATACTTTTTATAAGTAATACTGACCATGTTGGCAAGTCCTTAACATCCGCATTTGGAAAATAATCAAAAAACAAGATAATCCACACGATTCTCACACTTCATCACAGTTAACAATTTATGATTTTGACAAAGCAAAACAAAATAAGTTGGAAATTGCCTGTTACAGATATAACAATACTGTACTCTATAACGTAGGATCTATTATGTTTTGGTAAAATTATATAATGTTAACTCAAATTATTTATGCAACTTTGAAAAGATATCAAATCCCACATTATGCATGGAATTCTATATATTTTGGTAATATATCTGATATATTTTGTTAATAAAGTGAGAGAGTAAAGTCAACCAATGGAAAGGTGACAAAAAAGATAAATTCCATCATTATGTCAGTACTTTGGGGGTTTGTTTTTGTTTCATTATATCAATTTGATTATATGTTATATAGAAAACTGGATTCCTTCACTGCACGTTACCAAAGGATTTGGTATTCATTTAACCAAAATAAAACACTTTGAGAACCACAGACTATTTATAAGTGTACTGAAATATTTTAATGAAAAAACTAAAAAATTTTTGATAATTAAAAATTTCAAATTATGCTAGACAGAATATGCTTTAAAATTTTTGATAAAAACTTTTTCTTTCTTTTGCAAGACATAAACCAAGAGGACCTCAAAAAAAATGTAGCAATTAAGTTTGGAAAACTATAAAAGAGACTTTTACTTTCAGAATGGATGTTTTTTTCCATTCTTAAAATGTATGTCATTATTCAAGAAGCATGTTTATAAATTTCATTGAAGAAAATATTATACTTTTAATAATGTGACAGATTTGCTCCATCAAGTGGTTCTCTTATAATGTCTATCACACTGCAATCAACTACAAAAGCAAATAACAAAATTTAAATTCAGAGAAACACGCTTTCTAAAGGAAGCCTAAATTTCAAACCCTGTAACATTTAGAAGGTTCTCACAGCCCCAAATACATTTACAAAAAGGTACTTTCATCAGTTTCATGTAATGTGAACAAACCTACTATTCTCTATCATTTAAACGATTGAACAGTCGGTGCACAGCTGGATTAGTAAATAAAACGGAATCAAGGAGTCAATGTTCCTCATAAAAATAAGTTAGTTTGCAGTACATCATGGTCTTGGTTGTCCAGTTCTATTGTTAGCTCCGTATCTACTTGGCATATTTGTAAAACCAGTCCTGAATCCTTGGGTTACTCCAATTCCTGGAACTCCAAGTCCTTGATTAAGCAAGCTACTACTGTAAGGTGTGTGTCCATGATTAAGACCCAAACCAGAAGGTCTTGTTTGGGTGTTAAGCAGAATGACTGGGCTCACGTTTTTTCCAGGGGTGTTAAATGAAAATTCTGGAGGTGGACTACTAGGTTTAGCTGGAGTCGACGTAACAGGGTTTGAATCATCAGTACCCTTTAAAGGAGGCATTGGAATTATGTGATGATCTGAAAAGTTTAGGACATTGGCTGCAACAGGCCCAGACAGTAAGGCAGGTCTAATCCAATCATCCTTGAAAATTTGAACGGTCAAAGTAGACACTAGAGTGTACAGCCTGTTGGTCACATGAGCAAGAACCATTTGTTCATTTGCATCCCGTCGAATTCTTACATGCACTGATCCGGCCTAAAAGGGGAAACATCATAAGAAAGAGATACTTAAAATTATACCATTGAAAATTCCCCTAGAAATAAATATTTTATTTATGATTTAGCTGTAACTGTACTTGGTGTTTTCTTTTAAACAAGAGAAAGTATCATGTCTTGATATTCCTTGAAGACTACTCAGCAGTGACTGTCAATGTGAAGAGTTGATAAAATTATGTGACTAAATAAAATGTGTCTTTTTAAAATATATGAAAAAAATATATATGTGGGAGGAAGACAGGCATGTTATAGCCTAATGCAGAATATAACGTATATAGAAAATGCAATGGAAGAGCAGAAAAGAGAGCTGCTAATTCAAATTAAGGAAGATTTGTAAAGAAGATGGCATGTGATCCAGGGTTGATGGTGAAATGTAATTTTCAAAAGTGGAGACAGATATTCTAAGCTGAGAGAACAGCAATTAAAATGCATGGCATGTTCGGACAGAATAAGCAGTATTACTAATATATAAAGAAGTACAAATATTTCAGGGGGCAGAAAAATAATGAAAGAGAGAAAAGAAAAGAAAGAAGGATGGAAAAAAGAAAGAAAAACGGGTAGTAAGGTTAAAAGAAAGGCTAGCAGAGAACTCTAAAAATCATGATATGGAGTTTAATAGTAGCAATCAATCAGAAATACAGTTCAGAAAAAGTGTAGGTATGAATGATTGGTAATTAGGTAAAAAATGACTGCAACACTCTAGGTTAGAAATGAAGAGGGCACAACAGGACAAATATAATGGGATCAGAAAGGGACAGATGGATTCATGAGTTTCCCTGGGTTAGATGTGGGGGGACTTGATACCCAATTGGATGTAGTGGATGAGGGAGATGGACTGACTCATCAAAGATGATCTCAAGGTTTCTAGCCTGGGTTACTATGAGGATAGAGAACCCCAGGCTTTACAATGATGGCTAGAAGTCTGTTTACTGAAAAGATATTTATCATACGTTATGTTTTTAAATTATTCTATTTTGTTTAAAACATACACAGAGAGAAAAATAGCCAAGAGTGACAACACCTATCTCTAGATAGTACAATTATTAAAAGGTTTTTTGTTCACTTCTCTTTGACTTAGTTACAATTTTTCTAAGAATCAGGTACCATTTGCATAATGAAACTTAAGTAAAAATAAATAGTAAGTAAAATGAAACAAAATGTCCAGCAGACTCAATGCTGATTTCTAGATAAACTCAGATTTTCAAGATAAAAAACTATAATGAAGAAGAAGTTTCACATAAATTAGTCAAATACAAGTAGTTGTTTTATTTACAATGTGTCTGAATCTATGACTTTAACAGTAGTGACTGTCAATCATAAGATGGAGAAAATATCTATAATGCTTGAATTTTATTTCTAGTTTATTATGAAAGACAAGGCATGTTTAGAAATGCAGTCACCTTTGATTTTTTCCTTTTCTTGGCCACTACCATCTCACAGTTATCACTAGACAAAACTATAAAAGACACTGTAACCTCTTCCAGTCTGCTACGGAAATTAAAGCAATTAAAATAAATGAAAACCATTTCTGAGCAGGAGCTTGAACAGAATCTGCTGTGACTATGGTGTTTGCATTAATTTATGGCTTTTGTGACAACTACTCTTGGAGCTCAAAAGCTTGTTTTATTTTTCCTTAGTCTTAATTAGGTACTACCTGGGGGTAGTGGTTAGATGGCCATGTTCTGAACAGCTGGGTGACCTAATTCTTTGTGTGGATAAGCCACCCACCTAAATAAACACTTACCTTCTATGTTATTAAGATCGGTAAAATTAAAAGAATGATTAAAGACAAACTGTGTTCCTAAAGGAATGTAAATTGGTATAGCCATTTTTGGAAAGTAATTGGCTGCATCAAAAGCCATGAAAATGTGGATATCCTTTTTTTAAAAAAAATTTTATTTTTAACTAATCTCTACACCCAATGTGGGGCTCGAACTCACAACCCCAAGTTCAAGAGTCACATGCAATACTGACTGAGCCAGCTAGGCACCCCAGTGTGAATATCCTTTGACTCATAAAACCACTTCTAAAAATTAATCTTAAGGAATAATCACAAGTATGTGCAAAGATGATTCCACAAAAATGTCCATCCTAGCTCTGTTTATAAGGGAAAAATGGAATGCCATTAAGGGAGTGATTAAGTAAATGATGGCATATTAAAATAATGTAAAACTGCAGCCATTAAAAATTATGTTGGGATTCTTCAAAGACAGCAGTAATGGTGGCACTTTTTGGAAATTCCCCCAAATATGCCCAGAAAAACCGAAATTAAGACATCAACCCCAAAAACCTAAGGACAACATCTATTAAGAAACTAGAGGGGCGCCTGGGTGGCGCAGTCGGTTAAGCGTCCGACTTCAGCCAGGTCACAATCTCGCGGTCCGGGAGTTCGAGCCCCGCGTCAGGCTCTGGGCTGATGGCTCAGAGCCTGGAGCCTGTTTCCAATTCTGTGTCTCCCTCTCTCTGCCCCTCCCCCGTTCATGCTCTGTCTCTCTCTGTCCCAAAAATAAATAAACGTTGAAAAAAAAAATTTAAAAGAAACTAGATAACATGGTTTTCCCAAGAAATCCTAATCACCCTAATCCTAAGGTGTGAGACCTGCAAGGTATCAGCACCTGTGAAGGAGGAAGCAACAGGATATCTGATGGACCTAAAAACCTCAAAGCAGCTAACCTGTACTCAATGGAAATCTAGGGCAGCAAATTTGAGAAAGGCAGCTGGGAAACTGGGAGGGGATTTGCACATTTCAATAGTGGGTGAGTACACTGAGTTGGCCGTAAGATCTGAAGAGCTGGAGCAGCCTAAGCCCTGTGAGCTCTCCAAAGTAAGCAAGCAAGCTCCCTGCCAGTAGAAAGCCCCACATTAAGAAAAAACAACCGGGAACAGAATCCAAATTGAGCAACACAGCAGAAACAAGAGATAACAAAGAGCAGATACAAATGGCAGGTAAAGACCCAGGAGAAAGAAAAAACTTTCACTTCACACACTCAATCAGAAGAGGGAGCTTTAGAACCATAAATTCAAACACACTACCCTAACCACTCCTTATTTTAAAATTCAGGAAAACAATTTTGCATAAAAAGGAGAAACACAAAAAGGACTGCTTCCAAATCGCACACAAAGCTATTGTAAGAAAAAAACAGATTACAAAGGATTGCCCAAAAGAGTCACCTATAAAACACATGAGAACTATGACCTACTTTTTCAAAAGAAGCTGAAAGACATGAAACACATAAAACAGTATCAATCAGCATTCAAAAACCTCAAAAATGAGGGGCCCTAGGTGGCTCAGTTGGTTAAACGTCCAACTTCAGCTCAGGTCATGATCTCACAGCTCCTGAGTTCAAGCCCCATGTTGAGCTCTGTGCTGACAGCTCAGAGCCTGAAGCCTGCTTCGGGTTCTGTGTCTTCTCTCTCTGCCCCTCCCCTGCTCGCTCTCTCTCTCTCTCTCTCTCTCTCTCTCTCAAAACTAAACATTAAAAAAAAATACCTCAAAAATGAGACAACAACAAGAAAAATAATCACTTGAGAAATGAAGACCAGACTAGGGGCGCCTGGGTGGGTCAGTCCATTGAGCATCCTGCTTTTGATTTTGGCAAAGGTCATGATCTCATGGTTTGTGAGTTCGAGCCCCACATGGGGCGCTGCACTGACTGTGTGGAGCCTGCTTGGGATTCTCTCTCCCTCTCTCTCTCTGCCCCTCACTCACTTGCTCTCTCTCAAAATAAAAAAACTTAAAAAAAAAAGGAAAAAGAAATGAAGACTAGACTAGAACGAATACAAAAGGAAATAAATATACAGGTCTACTGTGAGAGAATAAAAGGCGATGAGAAGGCTAGTTTTAAAAATCAAAGGAACTGAAGATATAATAAGGAACTGAAAGAAAATAAATATAAAAGACCCAATGTGCTTACAATAGTAGATCCCAAAGAAGATACTAAAAGCAAGAGAAAATAAATATTAATAATTACAATTAAAGAAAACTTTCCTGAAAGATAAAACAAGTTTTTTGCAGTAACATTACTGCAAGGCTCTAATGCAAACCTGGAGTAACTGACCCAAAATGACCAACACCAAGACACAGTCCAGTGAACTTACTGGACTTAAAAAAAAAAAAAAGTCTTGGAGTATCTAGGCAAAGATCAAGTCACACTCAAGAGAAAAAAAATTAGGGCCCCTGGATGGCTCAGTCAGTTAAGCATCCGACTTCGGCTTGGGTCACGATCTTGCAGTCTGTGAGTTCAAGCTCCACGTTAGGCTCTGTACTGACAGCTCAGAGCCTGGAGCCTGCTTCAGATTCTGTGTCTCCTTCTCTCTCTGACCCTTCCCCGCTTGCACTCTGTCTCTCTCTCTCCCTCTCAGAAACAAATAAGCATTCAAAAATTTTAAAAAAGAGAGAAAAAAATATTTGACCAAAAAAGTAATTATTTGGTGACATAGAAAACTGTAAACGATATATTAAGTGAAAAGAGCAAAATATAAACGGCATGGTTTCATTTTTTTTTAATGTTAATTTATTTTTGAGAGAGAGAGAGATAGAGCATGAGCAGGGGAGGGGCAGAGAGAGAGACACAGAATCCAAAGCAGGCTCCAGGCTCCGAGCTGTCAGCACAGAGCCCAACGCAGGGCTAGAACCCACAAACTGGGGGATCATGACCTGAGCTAAAGTTGGCGCTCAACCGATTGAGCCACCCAGAGGCCCCACATAGTTTCGTTTTCTAAGGAGAGAAAATAGGTAAGTATAAATAAGAAAACATCCTGGCAGGCATCTCTATATGATGGGATTATGGTGATTAAATTTTTTTCCAGAGTACTTTTCTGTATTTTCCTCATCATTCCTGACACAGGAATGGAACCATGCCATAACTGTCTCTCTGGTAATAGGTCCAGACTGGATTCGCAAAAATTAATAAAAGGAAAACCTTATTAAAATGGGAGATGGGAGGCCAAAAGGGAGAGTCTCTCAACCCCTACTACCCCGAGTCAATTGTAGACTCAACAGGAAGAGAGGTGAAGTCCATTCTACTTTAGCTACTTCTTTATAACATCAACAGGAGGAAAGAGGTTTTCTTCCTCCTTCTCTGACAAAAGCCCAGCCAATGAGAGACTAATACAACTCAGGCAGTGAAAGCCACTGCACTTGAACTCCTGGTTTACTTCACTGGATTTTTCATCTGTAACAGTCCTTTCAACTTCCCCCTTTCCTCTATAGCAGACTGTTCCTCTGCTTTGTTCTTCAGACTTGCCTATTGTTTTGTTGTAGCTTGCTTATCGCGAATTGCAATTCTCTGCTATTCCAAAATAAACTCATTTTTGCTAGTAAAATAACTGGTCTTATTTTTAAGGTTAATATCAAAAACATGGGGGGGGAGCCTGGGTGGCTCAGTTGGTTAAGCGTCTTGACTTTGGCTCAGGTCATGATCTCATGGTTTGTGAGTGCATGTCCCACATGGGGGTCTGTGCTGACACCTCAGAGCCTGGAGCCTGCTTTGGATTTCTGTGTCTCCCTCTCTGTGCCCCCACCTCCACGCATGCACGCTCTCCCTGTCTCTCAAAAATAAACATAAAAAAAACAAAACAGTAGTTTGAAAAAAAAATAAAAGAAAAATATCCCTCAACTAATATCAATTAGGTTACTGAATCCATCTACATTTTAGACTCTATTAAACAGAAATGGTAATCAAAGGCTCTATAAAAATTTAAAGAAGTTGGGGCTCTTGGGTGGCTTAGTTGGTTAAGCATCTGACTTCAGCTCAGGGCATGATCTCGCAGTTTGGGAGTTCAGGCCCCACATCGGGCTCTGTGCTGACAGCTTGGATTCTGGAGCCTGCTTCAGATTCTGTGTCTCCCTCTCTCTCTGCTTCTCCCCCTCTCATGCTCTGTCTGTCTCTCTCTCTCTCTCAAAAAATAAACATTAAAACATTTTTTTTAATTTGAAGAAGTACTTTCTTTAGTTTTAAAAATTATAAACTATGTTTCACTTATTTATTTAATTTTTTATTGTTTAATCAACATCCAAGTTAGTTAATATAAACTATGTTTTAAATTACAACTATATTAATATGGAAAACATACCAGTGAGCCAAAACCTAGGGTCCAAAAATGCTCATTTCGAACTTCTAAAACTCCATCCAAGGTAGATACCTAATCAAAAACAAAGAAACTGGGCTGTTTATATTTGACATATCCAACACAGTTCAGTCACACTATGGACTTGACCTAAGCCTAGAAATGACCTGGCCAAATCCTGCATGAAGACACTCATTAGCCAAGAGAAGTCCTAGACCACTCAATGTATCATTTTACTTGTTCAGTAGTGAGCCAAGGCCTTGTGTTCCGTTTCTCGTCTGGCCCAATCCTTTTAGAATCAGGTGTTTACCACCTACCCTCACCACCACCTTGTTCGACAGCGGATGGTTCTTTTCATTTTGTGAGTATGTCACATATTTATATCCAGCACTGGTGGTATTAGATTTTTTCCCCCTTTTGGGGACTCTTCTCTATCATTTCTTCCTTTTAGCAAATTTCTGCACAACACAGGATGTTATGTGAATGTGGACCAAGAGGAAATTCCAAGACCAGATATATAGTGTATGTCCCATTGGTATAACACAGGCTGAGACAAACAGCCAGCTATATTGATAAATAGTGGCCTTTGTGATACCAACAATCAATAGTTTGAAATATTCTCAAAATCGAAATAATTACATTATCTTATTCCTTCAATTAGTAAGCTGGTGGGTATTTATACAATACAAAATCTAAACTCACAAATCAATGTTAAGTGATGAAGCAATCAACATGTAAAAGTAGTTTTTGACTTCTATCAAAATTCTAGATTTGAATATAGACGCATAAAAACCATAGCATTAACACAGCTAGTAGTGTGGTCTCTAGACCATTACCTTCCCTTCCACATTTACTTCAAGTTTCCAGACTGAGCAATTCCTCAAATTTTTATACTTTTGTCACTATTTTATATCTACTACTGTGTTATTTAGTATAAAGAACACAAACTCCCCTAAAATAAAATAGAGATAGGGCTGAGTAAAGTATCATTTATACCCATTCTTTCCATTCTCTAATTATAATTTAAAAGGATTTTATTTTCTATTCTACCTTACCTCTCTGATAAGTTTGTCCAACTGACCAATAACATGGGGTGGCGTTGTCTGGAGAAAAAAATAAAATATGAATAACTTCGGAGATAAAAGAATTTTTGCACAGTAGTCCTGAAAATAAAAATTTGGATTTTATACCAGCCTTTGCTTTGTTTGACAGCCTATCATGATTTAGGGAAGAGAGGTTTCAGTTGGCTCCACTAGTGGGACAACATCAACCATCAGCCCATGCTTATTTTTTATCTCTACACCCAAACAACTCTTGAAGAATCAGCCAGCCAACTAAAAATCTTTTGTATGGCACAGCATGACACAACTATTATCTTATTGTTACTACAGTTTCTGGAGATAAAACTACTGCCCCTAAGTTTTAGAAAGGGCATGAGGGTAAGACACAAGGAAAGCAGTGCTTACATACACATCCATCCCTGGGAAACTACCTTTGCATTCAGAGCCTTGTCTACAGGTGTTTCTATTGTTTAAATAAGGAGTAATTTGTCATTTTCGATTTTAAGTTTGAAATTTAGAAGTCTCACTGATTCAATGACAGGAAATAAGAAAACAATCACAACCAAACTATATAATAGCCAAAGCATATTTATTGCGGGAAAATAAATAGGTAAAAAATATTTCTAAGTAACACTGTTTTTACTTGAAACATTATTAAGGGCAAAATATTTTTAGCTTCTGATTTTGTCTTATATTATACAGGAAGATCTGTACATATTTTATGGGCCAAGAGAATTTCCTCTGCTTCTTACTGTATAGATTTCAGATATCACTGTTTGAGTTCATTTCTAACAGGGCCTTCTAATAGCTAAAAATTTTATAATCTGGTAGAAGAGAACATATAATTTTACTCTCTGGTAGAAAAAACTGGCTAATATTAAGCATGTGCATTGAAAAAGGACCCTTACCTGCAGTAATACTTTGCCACTGTACACGCTCATGGGATACATAGTGCCAAATGTCATCAGAGCAATGGCTATGGCAGAAGCAGTGTCCACAGCAAAATAATTACTAAAAGGAAAAAACAATTCTAAATCTCAAATATATGCGTCACTGGGCTTCTTACAATTCAATCTTCCAAAACATTGTCTAATACAACAGGACTTTGATCACAAGTGGCCACCACTGGCAAAGAGAGTGTCTCAAAATAAATAAATAAATAAGTTTTCAGAATCCTTTCTTGCCAAGTTTGGTGGAAAATAATAATTATGTTAAGCAGCATGAAGAGATGGTGAAGAAAAAAAATGTGACCATTTCCTCATTATGTATTTTCAATCTACTTGTCAACGAGAAAGATTTCATATATATTCATTTGTTGTGACAAACAAAAACCTTCAACTTACAATTTCTGATACAGAGAAGGCTAATGTATCTCATCCAACAATTTTCCTATAAATAATAATTTTCCAATTATTACCAAGAATTTTTGAAATTCCTCAGGAATTACACAAGGTGAGATTCTATGGGAATTTGTTAGAGGAACATTGTCACTGAAGTGCAACACTCATCAGTAGTTCAGACTGTTCTGTTAATAAGACAGACCAAAATGCCAATGCCAATGCCAATGATTACAAGCTGATCATGTTTTGTTTTTGTTTTATTTGTGTTGTTTTTTACTTTTTCCCACTGGCAATAGAAACATGAGGTAAGACCTAGCCCCTACCTTTGAAATAGCAGGAGATAACCATGTAAAGAAAATAAAGCAATCTGGGAGTAAAGGAGAAGTCCTATAGGGTAACAGGGATGCACAAAGGAGTGAGTGACAAGCCTCCCGAAGTAGGGATAATCCAGAAAGGATTATAAAATAGAAAAAGAGACATATGAGCTGACCCTTCAAAGACGAGTGAAATGATGGGAGGAAGGTATCACAGACAGTGGAAGCAGCATGTGCAAGGGTGTGAAAGTCCTGACACAGCATCAGAAGTAGGAACAGGCAAATATAGACAGACGGATGGCCAGTGAGGTCAGTAGGGGCCTTACCATGCTAACAGCTTTTATTTATTTTTTATTTTATTTCTTTTTTAGTTTTACTTTTTATTTTTTAAATTTACATCCAAATTAGTTAGCATATGGCACAAAAACAGACACACAGACCAACAGAATAGAATAGAAATCCCAGAATTAGACCCACAAAAGTATGGCCAACTCATCTTTGACAAAGCAGGAAAGAATATCCAATGGAAAAAAGACAGTCTTTTTAACAAATGGTGCTGGGAGAGCTGGACAGCAACATGCAGAAGAATGAAACTAGACCACTTTCTTACACCATTCACAAAAAAAACCTCAAAATGGATAAAGGACCTGAATGTGAAACAGGAAACCATCAAAACCCTAGAGGAGAAAGCAGGAAAAAACCTCTCTGACCTCAGCTGCAGCAATTTCTTACTTGACACATCCCCAAAGGCAGGGGGATTAAAAGCAAAAATGAACTATTGGGACCTCATCAAGATAAAAACCTTCTGCACTGCAAAGGAAACAATCAACAAAACTAAAAGGCAACCAACGGAATGGGAAAAGATATCTGCAAATGACATATCGGACAAAGGGCTAGTATCCAAAATCTATAAAGAACTCACCAAATTCCACACCGAAAAAACAAATAATCCAGTGAAGAAATGGGCAGAAAACATGAATAGACACTTCGCTAAAGAAGACATCCGGATGGTCAACAGGCACATGAAAAGATGCTCAACGTCACTCCTCATCAGGGAAATGCAAATCAAAACCACACTCAGATACCACCTAATGCCAGTCAGAGTGGTTAAAATGAACAAATCAGAAGACTATAGATGCTGGCGAGGATGTGGAGAAACAGGAACCCTCTTGCACTGGTGGTGGAAATGCAAATTGGTGCAGCCGCTCTGGAAAACAGTGTGGAGGTTCCTCAAAAAATTAAAAATAGACCTATCCTATGAACCAGCAATAGCACTGTTAGAAATATACCCAAGGGATACACGAGTGCTGATGCACAGGGGCATTTGTACCTCAATGGTTACAGCAGCACTTTCAACAAAAGCCAAATTATGAAGAGCCTAAATGGCCATCAACTGATGAATGGATAAAGAAATTGTGGCTTATATACACAATGGAATACTACGTGGCAATGAGAAAGAATGAAATATGGCCTTCCGTAGCAATGCGGATGGAACTGCATTGTTATGCTAAGTGAAATAAGTCATACAGAGAAAGACAGATACCATATGTTTTCACTTTTGTGTGGATCCTGAGAAACTTAACAGAAGACCATGGGGGAGGGGAAGGAAAAAAAAAAAGGTTAGAGATGGAGGGAGCCAAAACATAAGAGACTCTTAAAGAGGGTTGATGGGGAGTGGGAAGGAGGGGAGGGTGGGTGATGGGTATTGAGGAGGGCACCTGTTGGGATGAGCACTGGGTGTTGTATGGAAACCAATTTGACAATAAATTTCATATTAAAAGAAATTAGTTAGCATATAATGCAACAATGATTTCAGGAGTAGATTCCTTAGTGCCCCTTACCCATTTAGCTCATCCCCCCTCCCACAACCACTCTAGTAACCTTCAGTTTGTTCTCCATATTTATGACTCTCTTCTGTTTTGTCCCCCTCCCTGTTTTTATATGATTTTTGTTTCCCTTCCCTTATATTCATCTGATTTGTCTCTTAAAGTCCTCTTATGAGTGAAGTCATATGATTTTTGTCTTTCTCTAATTTCACTTAGCATAATACCCTCTAGTTCCATCCACGTAGTTGCAAATGACAAGATTTCATTTTTTTGATTGCCGAGGAATACTCCATTGTATATATACACCACATCCTCTTTATCCATTCATCCATCGATGGACATTTGGGTTCTTTCCATACTTTGGCTATTGTTGATAGTGCTGCTGTAAACATTGGGGTGCATGCGTCCCTTCAAAACAGCACACCTGTATCCCTTGGATAAATGCTCAGTAGTGCAATTGGTGGGTCATAGGGTAGTTCTATTTTTAGTTTTTTGAGGAACCTCCATACTGTTTTCCAGAGTGGCTGCACCAGCTTGCATTCCCAAGCTTTTATTTTTTTAACAGGCAAAGAGGAAGATTTTGAAACAGGAAAATATTATGGCCAGAGGTGCAATTTTGAATGATGACGTTAGTAGCAAAATGGAAAATAACTAGAGATGTATGACAATGACAGAAGACCAGAAGACTATTGTAATTAGACCAAGGAAATAATAAGGCCTCAATTTGGGAAGCAGCAATGAAAACGGGAAAGAGAGGACAAATAAATATTAAAAAAGAAGGTCCAATCAGACTGGCTGATAAGAGTATTATTTACAATAGCCAAGACATGGAAACAAGCAAAGTATCCACCAACAGATGAAGGGATAAAAAAATGTAAGATACACACACCTATAAACACACACAGACACACACACTGGCTTGAGAATTATTCAGCCAAAAAAGGGAGGGAATCATGCCATTTACAACAACATGGTAGAGAGAGACAAATACTGTTATGATCTCCCTTACAGGTGCAATCTAAAGATCCAAACTCCTGCGAAACACAGAAGAGTTTGGTGCCTGTCAAATGCAGGGGGTTGAGGGTGGGGGAGAAATGGGTGAAGGTGGTCAAAAGGTATTGAGTTGCAGTTATGAGACACAGAAGTTCTGGGGATGTACTGTACAGCATGATGACTACAACTTTAAAATACAAAAAAAACAAATTCAAGACCAGGTGACCAATTAGAACCGGCTTTGGGAGAGGTGAGAGGGGAGAAGTATGATATTTAAGAGTGCACTGGAGTTAAACATTTAAAAAAAAGGTCGGGGGGAGCGCCTGGGTGGCTCAGTCGGTTGGGCGTCGGACTTCGGCTCAGGTCATGATCTCACCGTTCGTGAGTTCGAGCCCTGCACTGCGCTCTGTGCTGACAGCTCAGAGCCTGGAACCTGCTTCAGATTCTGTGTCTCCTTCTCTCTCTGCCCCTTTCCCACTCAAGCTTTTGTATCTGTCTCTCTCAAAAATAAATAAACATTAAAAAAATTTTTTTAAAAAGAGTGCACTGGAGTTCGTCAAAAAATTACACGCTGAATTATCCTATAATCCAGCAATTCTACTTCTGGGTATATGCCCACAAGAATGGAAAGCAGGGACTCAAACAGGTATTTGTATACCCATGTTCATAGAGCACTATTCACAATAGCCAAAAGGTGGGAACAATCCAAATATCTATCAGTGGATAATTCAACAAACAAAATGTGTTCTGTATGTACAATGGAATATTATTCAATCTTAAAAAAGGAGAAAATTCTGATACATATTACAACATGGATGAATCTTGAAAACATTACGCTAAATGAAATAAGCCAGATGCAAAAAGACAAATATTGTATGATTTCATTCACATGAAGTACTTTGTCAAATTCGTAGAGACAGGAAATAGAATAGTGGTTAGCAGGGGCTTTGGGAAGAGAGGAAGGGGAGCTACTCTTTAATGGGTACTGAGTTACAGGTGGAGAAGATGTAAAAGTTCTGAAGATGGACAATGGTGACAGTTACACAATGATGTGAGGTACTTCATGCAACTGAACTGTATGATTAAAAATGGTTCAAGTTTTAATATACATTGAAAAAAAACAATGCAACAGAATAGATGGTAGTGGTATTATTCACTGAGGTTGAAAATATAAGAAAAAACCACTTTGGGGATGGGGAAAATAGGTTCAGCTGATGTAGACATGAATAGATGTAAGATACGCCTTTTGGAATTCAACAGACATCTGGACTAGAAATAATGGTTTGGGAAACTCACAGAGGTGGTAAATAAAAACGAGTAATTGAATGTAATCTTCCAGAAGAGTATGCAAAATAGGAAAAAGAATAATTAAGGACCAATTCTAGTAAACCCTAATATTTAAAGGGTAGGTAGTTGAAGAATCACATGTCATAAGATGCTAGGGAAGGTTAAAGCAGCTATAAAGTATACTTCCTAAAAGTTCTGCCTTTTATTTATTTTTTTCCTTTTTCTTATTTTTTTTTTTAAGGCTTGACTTAAAAAAATTTTTTTTCATACCTACTTCCCCTTCCTTCTCTCAGAAATAGTAGCCATGGCTTATCTGTCACCTTCTGTCCTCTTCTGTCACGGTCATCTTCTCTGTTTCACTCACCAAGTCAGCAGTAGGGACTTTAAGTAGTTTTCCAGTCTGAATTATAGACTGTGGTGAAAAATACTTATTGAATCCTACCCCTTAATTTTTCAGATGAAGATACTTAAGGACAAGACTTGACCAAAGCTACACAGGCCATAAGCAAACATGCTGTAAGCATAATCCTTACCTACCCCACAGATGCCTTTAAAAGTCAGGCCCCCAAAATGGAACCACTTGACAGCAATAAAAACTACTTACTTAATTTCAATTAGCATATATGTAATACAAAGAGCAAATGCTCCAGCAAGATCAATCAAAACAAATGGATTCATTCGGGGAAGGAAGATGCTGCTAAGTCCTGGAATAATTCCACACAGGCTATGAAGAAACAAACAAAGAGTATTCGTTAGCAGACCTCAATGTAACACTGATGGAAATCTTGTGAAAGACAACTTGTATTTTAGTACCATAGGTCTTATAGAAAGCAAAGAGGATGTGGGAACAAAGTTCTCTCACTCGTAAAGGTATCTTATGTCATCAATAAGTAAAAGGCGAGTAAGTTTGATCTGTGAGATTCATGTAGCAACCTCAGCAATGAATAATGTAAGTTCCCATGACAGATGCATTTCTTGTACATCCCTTTGAAATTATGTGTATCATGAAACCCCACATAACATCTTACCTTCGACTAAGATCTGCAACATGCTCTTGAAGCCAACTCGTACTAGCAGCTTTAAGAAGAAAACATGTAAATTACCTATATAGAAAAATAAACCACTACCAGAAATACTTGATTTCCTTAATTTAAAAGATAAGTTTTGTAATGACTGTATAACATTTTACAAAAGGACATGCTACTTAAATCTAGACTTTTTCCCTCTTTTATACCTTCAAGATAATAAAGCAAAAACAGTTTCAACTATTTATATCACTGACCTGGAGGAATTACATATGTCAGTGTACTATTAATTTTAAAGGCTCTTTAAACGTAAAGCAGAACTTCCTAACCAGTGTGCTGAGAATGGGTTATAGGTATACCAATTCTTAATTTCCCCAGCTCTCAGAAAGGCCAGGTAGGGGATCTGGCTACATGCAGAAACCTGCCAGTTACTGTTCCTGAACAAGTAGCCCCCAGGCTCAAACATCCTTTTACATTTATCTCAGGATTATATAAATACTCACTTTTTCATGTGTAACATGATGTAAAAAAGACTGGCGAGGTTCTACAAAAGCCATATTGTAGAGCAGTTAAGAGCAGACTCTATTGCCAGAATATCTAACTTAAAACCCAGCTCTTAGCTAGATATTTGACTTTGGGCAAGTGATTTAATCTCTCAGTGCCTCAGTGTAATATAAAAATAATAAAATTATTTGGGGCGCCTGGGTGGCGCAGTCGGTTAAGCGTCCGACTTCAGCCAGGTCACGATCTTGCGGTCCGTGAGTTCGAGCCCCGCGTCGGGCTCTGGGCTGATGGCTCAGAGCCTGGAGCCTGTTTCCGATTCTGTGTCTCCCTCTCTCTCTGCCCCTCCCCCGTTCATGCTCTGTCTCTCTCTGTCCCAAAAATAAATAAACGTTGAAAAAAAAAATAAATAAAAAAATAATAAAATTATTTACCTCATGTGGTTATAGGGAGAATTAAATGGGCTGATCTACATAAAGAGTTTAGCATTGTGTCTGGTAGACAGAAAGTGCTCAGTATTATCTTTCACTCAAATTTCAACTAATGCCACAAATATTAATGTTTCTGGGAACTTTAATATCCAGCTAATGAAAATATAAACTAGATAGCCTTTCCAGAAATAAGTCTGGCACAATATGTATCAATGACTTGAAAGATATTATATTTCTAACCCATTTATAATTTCTCTGGGAATTCATCCTGAAGAAGACTCACAGATGCATAAAAGAAATGTGATATCAGAAAGCAGATTGTAGCATTATTTATAAAAGGAAAACTTGGATCTTTCTCATCTTTATGGAGAGATAATTTCTAAATCTTTGTACCTTCTTAAAATCTCTAGAGTGAACATTATACTATTTTAAAAACTTATGCTTTTCTTTTCAAAATAATTATGGACATCACAAATACCATATTTTCTAGTTCATGCAGTAATTCTAAAACTTTAATTCATACAAATACAACTGACGCTTCATAATATTCACGAAGGTATTTAAATTTGAATGGGAAATTCAGAAAACTTTCTTCTCTTGATTGTCTTAGTGTTCAAGTCAGTGGACCTAAAAAGATCCTCTCCTATCTTTGCTTCAAAGTGTGGGTCTGTGCACACAGCCCACTTTTATTTTTACCTCACTTCTCCACCAATCAGTGTTCAACCCTTTGTGGGTTAGTGGGAATCCAGAACATGGAAATTACCAAAAAATAACAATAATTTTAACTACTGAAGAGAAATAACACTCTAAATTTTTAAAGACTTGAAAATAAAAGAATATTTCAAAATATATATGCTACTTTATAATATATGCCCATCCACCATTGACACAGAGAAGTTCCTGGGAACTTACTTAACAGAATACAATTATTTGCAAAGAGCCTATCAACCATCTGAAGTATACTGATGTTTCCAAAATGTGTGCAATAGATTTTTTCTAAGTAGGTGACACATCTAAAATCCCACTCATGTTATTTGGCAAATGTAATTTTTCATCACATACAATTTAATATATGTCAGTTCTGCTCATTTTAAAGTAATACATTCTTTTAAAGCTTGAACTAATAAGATTTTGTTTTGTAATTCTCTACTCAGAAAAGACCTGAGAACCTCTAGGATAGTTCTTTCTTCTCTTCAGGATAAGCTTTCTAGGTGATGTGAGTTAATAAAACAAACACAGGACTTGTTTTTATGAGAGATGAATTGGATTTTTTATTAATGGTAAATAAAAGTCATACCTTCAGAGACATAAGCAAAAGGCTTATTCCGAATAGAAAGCATTGTGAACAAGTTGAAGGAAAGAGCCACAAAAGTACCAACTAATAATCTTCCCCTAAAAAGAACAATAACATTTACCATTATTTTTTCTTGGTAATAGCAACACGTAATTTCAGCATGCAGACAGACTAGGAGATGGGAAGGGAGAGTCATCTGCTGCAGTGGTTTGGGATTTGTGGAGCCAGGCTCTGAACTTGCTTTCGAGTTCCATCTTACACAGGACAAAAACGGACTCTCAGCATGAACAGTATCTTCCTACAGGTAACTGCTGTTATAAATTTATATAAATGCAATGGTATATGGTTTACAAGATACTAGGCAGGCCAGAGTATCCTGAATTAAACTGGTCAAAACAGGGGCGCCTGGGTGGCTCAGTCGGTTAAGCGTCCGACTTCAGCCAGGTCACGATCTCGCGGTCCGGGAGTTCGAGCCCCGCGTCAGGCTCTGGGCTGATGGCTCACAGCCTGGAGCCTGTTTCCGATTCTGTGTCTCCCTCTCTCTCTGCCCCTCCCCCGTTCATGCTCTGTCTCTCTCTGTCCCAAAAATAAATAAACGTGGAAAAAAAAATTTTTTTTAACTGGTCAAAACAGAAAAAGTCCATGTATTTGGCAACTCTGTAGTAGACAATTACACTTTTATCCTTTTTTTTAAATTTCTTTAATGTTTATTTTTTTATTTTCAGAGAGAGAGTGAGCAGGGGAGGGGCAGAGGGAGAGAGGGTGAGGGAGAATCTCAAGCAGGTTCAATGCTTTCTGCAGAACCTGACGCAGAGCTCAGTCTCAAGAACTGTGAGATCATGACCCGAGCTGAAATCAAGAGTCAGACATCTAACTGACTGAGCCAGCCTGGCTCAATTTTATCTTTTCTAAAGGTGCTACTAAAAGATTTTGGGCATCAAATTTTAAATCATAGAAGACCAACATGGCTAGTTTATGTGTTGATTTAGGCCTGGAAATAATGAGGGACCTAAAGCCAGAGTACAAAGGCCTTCCTGTGCAATATAAAAACATAAGGACTTGGGAACAGTTAAAGCTGAGAAGGAGTCTTGGAATTGGGGGATTTTGTTTGTGAATTATCAGTGAAATGTATATTGCCACACTCTGACCTATGACTGGCCAAAGTAACCATTATTCTTAATGTACCTCTCAATAACTGGGGATCAAACATAATAGTAAATTATGTTATGTCAAAAGCAAAATCTCACGTGTGTATCTCGGGCTGCTCCAGAAAGCGTTCTGCACTAAAAGAAAGAAAAAATGTATTAAATTAGTTCTAAAATTATGAAATTAAAAAGCTTTATTAAATATAGAATTAATCTAATAAGTGAACAAAATCTTTTTTTTTTAAGTTAGTTTATTTGTGTAAGTAATCTCTACACTTAACATGGGGCTCAAACTCATGACCCCAAGATCAAGAGTCACATGCTCTTCCAACTGAGCCAGCCAGGCGCCCTGAACAAAATCTTTTAATATGATAACCAACTGTTGATTATTAACAGTGATCAGGCAAGACTTACAAATTATCCTCCATATGTAGTATCAATCTTCCCCACCAAACTTTTTCCAATGGGTTTATACCAAGCATTAAAACATGTCTGACTGAACCCGTTTCCTTCATACCTACCCAGGATTTAGTAGCATCAAATTAGGTAATAAAAGGAGGGTGAAAAGAAGGGAGAAAAGTCTGAAAAATGAAGAGGACATCCTATCAAAACTCCAGCACTGCTCATCTTAATTTGTATACCCTTTAAACCAAATGTGTTTCACTGGATTCTTTCATGTTGCCAAAGGTGGAATTTACAATGAAGTGACATATAAAACAAACGTACCTTTCTTTTAATATAAAGAGAGCTCCCAGTTGTGCCAAGACTGTGGAGGCAAATACAGCCAAGACTTCTAATCTTTCAAATCTGAAACAAGAAAATTAATTAGATCAGCACAATTCATACACCAGCATCTCCAGAACACATTTGCATTCATTTATTCACATACTAAATTTTTTGTGTGTGTCTACTATAAGCCAAACACTGTTAATTTTTTTTAATGTTTTTAAATTTATTTTTCAGACAGAGAGAGACAGAGCATGAGCAGGGGAGGGGCAGAGAGAGAGGGAGACACAGAATCCGAAGCAGGCTCCAGGCTCTGAGCTGTCAGCACAGAGCCCGATGTGGGGCTCGAACTCACAAACTGCAAGATCATGATCTGAGCCGAAGTCGGACGCTCAACCGACTGAGCCACCCAGGCGCCCTAAGCCAAACACTGTTAGAACAGACTACAGATTTTCTAGAATGAAGATAAACAGTGATTATCACAGATTTAAAAAAAGTGCCTATATGTACAACACCTATTCCTAGGACCCACTTATAGCTGTTATTTTTCTGGAAATAATTATTATCACAATAACAGGTAACACTTGATTGACCCATCTTATGTTAGACCACTGCTCAAAGTGCTTAACATACAATTTCTTCTAAACTACCCAACACCTTATGAAGGTTACTCTATCCACTTTAAAAAAAAAAGAAAAAGAGATAAGGAACTTGAAATACAAAAAGGAAAAGTAACTTATTAGAGTCATACAGCTAGCAAGTGGAGGAGTGAGGTTTCCAAACTCAGGCACTCTAGTTCCACAGTTCATGATTTTAACCACTTATTATATGGTCTCTCACTGAAGCAAATAATTGCAGTTAATTATGTGTATGCCTTATAATCCCTAAATTGTAAGCTCAAGGCCAAGGCCTGTAATCATATTCATCTTAGTTTTTCCCACAACAGTTTAATGGCATTCAATATTTGTGATAAGTATAAATGCTTATAATTTCTCAAGGAATTAGATATCTTCAGTAAAGACAATAAAATAATTAAGGATCCTGATCACATTGCTGTTTTTAAAGGGGAAAAATGCTGGAATCAACAACAACATATTATTAAAAATATAACAAATGTATTTATTGACATGGAAAGATATAAATGAAAAGAGTGGGTTATAAAAGAGTATAAAAAACAGTATGTAAATGCAGTATGTAAATGTTATTTGTGGAAACTAATAAACTGATATTAAAGTGCATATATGGAAACGCAAAAGGTGAAAGAAAGCAAAGACAATCCGAAGAAGAACAAAGCTGGAAGGTTTACACCACTAGATGTCAAGATGTATTTCAAAACTATTCAAAACTACTGTAGTTAATATAGCAAAGTACTAATGCAAGAATAGACAAATATTGACATTGAACAGACAAGAAAATCCAGAAACAGAATCACACATTCATAGTCACCTAGTTTATGAAAAAGGTAGCACATAAAGGCAGGAGAAAAAGGATTAACTTTTCCTCCAATAAATGTTTCATCAGTTGAACAGCTATATAAAAACAAATATGCCCTGACCTCTACCTCAACCCATATACAAAAATGAATTCCAGTTTGACTGTAGGTGTTAAATGTGAAAGGTCAAACAACAAGATTTCTAGCTAATAGTAGAGTATCTTTATGACCTCGGAGCTGGCTAAGATTTCTTGACAAGTACACAAAAAGTACAACCCATGAAAAATTGATAAATTGAACTTATTGAAATAAAAAAACTTTTCATTCATGGGAAAAGTTATTTATATATGAAGAACTCTACAGATCAATATGAAAAAAAAGGTAACCCAATTTAAAAATGGGTAAAACATTTTAATATGCACCTGACAAAAAAGGTAATCTGAATGACTAAGAAATATATGAAAAAGTCAGTAATATGAAAAAGTGTTCATTTAGTCATCAGGATAATAATTTAAAACCAAAAGACACAACTACATACCCTAGAATGGCTTAAAAAATAAAAAGACAATACCAACTGTTGGTATAGGCATGAAGCAACCAGAACTCTCAAATACTGCCAGTGAAAGAGTAAACTGGTAAAACCACTCTAGAAAACTGGTATTACCTTATCTTCCAACAATGAACATATACAATTCCTATGACTGAGTAACTTCACTCAAAGATACATATCCCACATAAAGGGATACACATGTATACCAAAAGACATGTACAAGAATATTCACAAATAGCTTTATTTATAATAGCTAAAAGCTGAAAATCACCTAAATGCCTTTCAATAGTTGAACATAAAAAGAAATTGTGGTATATTCATATAATGGGATATGAGAGCAATGGACCAGAATGAACCACTATTATAGGAGAGTATATAATCCCATTAATGTGCCTCCAGACAGGCAACAATAATGTGCAAAGAACAGCGGTCAGAACACTGATTACTTCTGTTGGGCTGGACTCTGACTCAAAAAAAAGGGGGGGGGGGCTTTTTGGGGGGATTTGTAAAGTTTTATATCATGATCTAGGTAGTAGTTATACAGGTATATTCATTTATTAAAATTCACCAAACTGTACAAGGATATAAGAACAAGATCTGGCCCCTGCTACCATGAAATTTGCATTTTATTAGTATTTTTAATTTATTTGGGGGGGGTGCAGAGAGAGTGAGCATACAAGAGCAGAGGGGCAGATAGAGGGAGACAGAGGATCTGAAGCAGGCTCAGGGCTGACAGCAGAGAGCCTGATATGGGGCTCAAACTCACAAACTGTGAGATCATGACCTGAGCCGAAATCAGACACTTAACTGACTGAGCCATCCAGGTGCCCCAAATTTTACATTTTAAGGAGGGAGACAGAATAACAATTTATAACTTCTGGTAAATGCTATACAGAGAATAATAGTAGTCTGACATGGAAAGAGGCTAACTAGGTGATCTATTTTAGAATCTATTTCAGATTGGGCCCAGTTACTTAATGACATTGGCATTTAGTGATATTAGGATTCGAATAACAAGATGGAGCACATCCTGCAAAGATGAAGTGAAGAGAATTTCAAGGAGAGACAATAGCTTGTACAAAAGACCTAAGCAGGAATATATGCGCTGTACACAAATTACAGAAAGAAAGACTGTGTGGTATATAGGGCATGAAAGTAGAAACTTGATCATAGCAGCACTCTCAACAATAGCCAAATTATGGAAAGAGCCTAAATGTCCATCAACTGATGAATGGATAAAGAAATTGTGGTTTATATACACTATGGAATACTACGTGGCAATGAGAAAAAATGAAATATGGCCTTTTGTAGCAACGTGGATGGAACTGGAGAGTGTGATGCTAAGTGAAATAAGCCATACAGAGAAAGACAGATACCATATGGTTTCACTCTTATGTGGATCCTGAGAAACTTAACAGGAACCCATGGGGGAGGGGAAGGAAAAAAAAAAAAAGAGGTTAGAATGGGAGAGAGTCAAAGCATAAGAGACTGTTGAGAACTGAGAGCAAACTGAGGGTTGATGGGGGGTGGGAGGGAGGAGAGGGTGGGTGATGGGTATTGAGGAGGGCACCTTTTGGGATGAGCACTGGGTGTTGTATGGAAACCAATTTGACAATAAATTTCATATATATATAAAAAAAAAAAGAAAGTAGAAACTTGAAGAGAAGTAGGCAGAGACTAGCTCATCTAAGAATTTTGTAAACTAGAGAAAAGAGTCAGGATTTTATTGTAAGTATGACAGCAAATAACTGGGTGGTTATAAGGAAAGTGATAGCATGATTTAAGTTTAAAAAGGAAAACACTATGGAGTGTCTGCATGGCTCAGTTGGTTAAGCATCCAACTCTTGATCTTAGCTCAGGTCTTAATCTCAGGGTTGTGAGTTCAAGCCCTGAGTTGGGCTCCATGCTGGATGTGAAGCTTACTTAAACATAAATAAATAAAATAAACATAACTAAGCTAAACTAAAATAAAAAATAAAATGGAAAACACTCTGGTTGCTATATGGATAATGGTCTATAGGGGGGTAAGAGGACAGGCATGGGGACCAATTAGGAGACTGGACATTGATAAAGATAAGAAATGAAGGTAGCTTAGTTACGATGGTAGTTGTTGAGATAGAAATGCGGGTCAGGGCAGATTCTGGATGTGTCTGTAGGTTACCCCGTAAAAACCTGCTAATGGATAAATGTGGGGAATGGGAGAAGACTAAAAATTTTGCTTGAGCAAATGAGTGGTGGTATTAACTAAGATGGGAAAAACTGCAGAGGAACAGGTTTTTAGGGAAGAAAACAAGAATTGTAGCCAAAGTTTAAGGCACCAAATAGATATCCATGTGATGCTGTCAAGAAGGTAGTCTGAAACAAGACAGATCTTAGGGCTAGAGAACTGGAGTTTGGAATTATTAAATATAGATAGTAGGGACGCCTGGGTGGCTCAGTTGGTTGAGAGTCCGACTTCGGCTCAGGTCATGATCTCGTGGTCTGTGAGTTCAAGCCCTGCGTCGGGCTCTGTGAGGACAGCTCAGAGCCTGGAGCCTGCTTCGGATTCTGTGTCTCCCTCTCTCTCTGCCCCTCCCCCACTCATGCTCTGTCTCTCTCTCTCTGTCAAAGATAAAAACATTAAAAAATATATATATAGATGATAGTTCAAGCTATGTGACTGACAATTATACTTGGATGTTAATTTTATTGTTTAATTGCTCCCTCCCTTCTTGTTCAGTCTAAGTAAGTGGGAGCTATCATGTCCTTGCTTAACCTGGTCTCCTGGCCACAGTAACTGATCTAGAGACTAATATCTGTTCCAAGCTGGACCAATCAATAGTTCTTTCCCATGATTTTCTTTACTAGCACTGGGGAAGCATCTTTCCTTATCTAGGATGTAGTTAAGAAATTTCAAGTTAAGGTCTTGCTAGGAGTTATTCTAGGATGGTGGGGAAACATGGTATGAGAAACTAAACCTGACATGCAGAGAAAAGTGGGCCTGAGAGGTAAGAGAAAGACAAGGGTCCTGAGTGTGCTAGTCCCTATGCCAGTTACCTCAGTCTTCCCACATTCTGGTTACATAAATTACAAAAGTTCCCATTTTCCCTCGATACTAGT